GGGCATTCTAGATTGCTTGTTCATGAATTGTTATTTGGTGTAGGCCGTTGATTCGTATAATAGGGGACAGATTCCCATGGCAAGTGAAAAGTGCAATTCTCTCAACTTTGAGCATCATAATACGGAAGGGTGGGTTGGCCCTAAAGCCTTTTCTTCCCCAGCTTCAAACAACATTTGTTAAGTGTTTGCAGGATAATACAAGGTTAGCTTTTAATACTTATGGTTTTTCAGCTTTTTTTGAGACTCGTTTATTCTGTTAGGTTCGGTACTTCGATGTATATTCCTAGCTCATGCTATGCAAGTTGTTTGCAGGACTGTTCGATCAAGTGCTGCTCTTGCCCTTGGTAAACTAAGTGCACTCACAACTAGGATTGATCCTTTGGTTGGTGATCTTTTATCTGCTTTACAGGTGACATACTTCATCTTATGTATTTTTTTCTTTTCTTTGGTTTTAACCTTCAAAATCTAATATTGTGGTGATATGGGCAGCAGGCTTCAGATGTTGGAATTCGTGAGGCTATTTTGACTGCTTTGAAAGGAGTGATCAAACATGCTGGCAAAAGTGTGAGCAGTGCTTCTAGAACACGTGTCTATACACTCTTAAAGGATTTGATATACAATGATGATGACCAGATACGAATTTGTGCTGCCAGCATATTGGGAATCATATCACAGGTTAGACTTGCTATCCCACATATATCAATTTCAAATTATTTGTTTAGTTAACCTGAAATGACATAATCGAACATCTTTTTGTTGTAATCCCTTTACTGTATACTAACGACTAACAAGAACCAATCTGTATATTTAAAAAATTAATTTCCACATTTTCATCTTCTTCTGTTTTTGTGTCATTTTGTTTCTTTTGCAATTCATTTTACCCTTAGAGGATGTTTCGTTTACGGAATGTCAGAAACTCAGAAAGATTACCCCCAAAACATTTCCTCCTGCACATTACCAAGAATGTGCTCAATTTCTTTTTGTCAGGACAATTTGTGTTTGGTTAAGATTGTGGGAAAGCAAAATTTACCTGTTTAGTTGAGGGTTATCTTTTACTGTCAGGATAAACATTTTACTTTAATGCCCTTAATATGTATATATTTATATACTTATAAATAAGAAATGATTATATTCAAATATGCAAATAAATACACATATAGATGTATATATACATACACATATATGTGTGTGCGTGTGTATTTCAAAGGGCAAAAATAGAAAATTTCCAGGGTTATCTCACAATACTTAGTATTCAAATTTCCTTGTATATTAAGAGTTATGACACAACCTAAACCAAACAAGAGCATATATCATTAGGTTACCCACATTACCAGGGTTATGCAACGTAACCCGTAGCAAATGCCCCCTTAGGGGAGATTTGGTGACTAACGAGGTGGATTTTGGTCCAGGGACTATAGGAAATGGAAACGCAGGGTGTTTGACATTTAAATTAACAGTGTGGGGAGTTATGTTTTTACTCATGCACTATTTCCTTGAATATGTTTCCAATTAGGCTAGATGTGTTTGAGAGGATATCTACTAATATTTTGAACAATTCAGCCATTGTTAAAGCCATTTTGAACTATTATAATGCATGTTGGTTTGCCTGAAGAAAGAATATTTGTCATTTCTACTACTTCCCTATCAATTCTAATTATAATAGAGTACGTTGTTAATGATGCTTACTTATCCCAACTTTGCTTTGATATTTCTCCAGTATTTAGAAGATGAAGAAGTTCTTGATTTACTTAATGAGATCACAAACTCAGCATCGTCTTCTACCTGGTGCACAAGGCATGGAGCAGTACTTACAATCTCTTCAATGCTAAAGCACTCTCCTGCCATCATTTGTACTTCATCATCATATGGAGCTGTAGTAAATTGTCTCAAAAGTAGCTTAAAAGATGAAAAGGTATTAGGATTCCTTTACACCATTATTCTTTTATCATGTGAAATGAGAACTGCTTCTTAACATTTAAATAATTCTTTGTTTATTAGTTCCCGATCCGTGAAACATCCACACGAGCATTTGGAAGACTTCTATGTCATCAAATTCAGAGTGATTCTTCAAATGCTTCTTCACATCTGGAAATTCTTGGATCTATAGTATCAGCCATGCAGGATGATTCAAGTGAAGTCAGAAGACGAGCTTTGTCTTCCCTTAAGATAGCTGCCAAAGTTCGTATTTATACTCATAACCTACTTTACTCGGAGCTGTGTTATTGTATTTTATCAATTTATGTATTCATGTGGAGGATACTAAACCATTGCTTTTATATTGCAGTCTAACCCTAGTGACGTAATGATCCATGTATCAAAGTATGGCCCCGTACTAGCTGAGTGCATGAAGGATGCAAGTACACCTGTCAGAGTTGCCGCTGAGAGATGTGCCTTGCATGCTTTCCAATTGACTAAAAGTAAGGAATTCTTTCACAGTTTTTCCTACCATGCTTCTAATATTTATAAATCATGAATTTATTTGTCCATATTTTTACTTTCAAGCTACTTGGTAAAGACAACACAACTTGTTTTCAAATTTTTGGAACTGTCTTATGATCTTAATTGTTGGTTGAACCGTGTTTTTCAGGTGCAGACAATGTTCAAGCTGCACAAAAGTTTATCACAGGTTTGGATGCTAGGCGGATTGCAAAGCTTCCAGAATATAGGTGAAGGCTTATTAACTGTTTTTGAAAATGATATTGGCTTGCAAACCTAGACTGACATTTCTTATAGACACTGGCTCGCTTATAATATTTTGTCGACTTTGTTGGTGCAGTGATGTTAGTGAAGACAGCGACATTGATACTTCCAGCGGTTAAAACCAGATTTTGCCTCCCAATCATATTTTTTCGTTTCGCAGTTCAACAATGGCTGAGGTTTTGCGTTGAAGTTTCCATGACCACTTGTGACTACAGGAATGTGATCGAAGTACATAGTTACATGTGGGATATACATACAAATATTCAAGAAATCTTTTCACCAATTTTGTAGCCATTTATACTATATATATATATATATATATATATATATATATATATATATATATATATATATATAAGGATCATAAACTTGAAGGAGGTCCCGAGGTCGAACTCCAAAATCATGATATAAATTATTGTATGATTCACTGTAGATATTCAATCATAGTGTTGTTGAAGCATCAAGGCTTGGTGGTTATTTGGGAATTCGTTAAAAGAAAGCTTTTTATGTCAATTTTCAAAGGACTTAAAAGAGGGTTTCCAGCTGATCACCATTGCATTTCTCTGAGTCCAGATTATGGTCTACCACTAGTTTATTTACTGCATTAAGAAGCCTTTTGCCCGTTGCCTGGCACTAATCATGGCTGCAACATTGAAGGAAGGTTTCATTTTGTTAAAAAAAAAAAAAAAAACAAAACAAAAACTAGATATTATGACTATAATATAATTAACACAGAATTGTTGCTAAGGTTAGCCACCGTCTCCAGCAAATTATACTGTGGATTATGGTCTATGTTCTAATGTGGACTACTGATAAATTTTAGCATATTGAGTATACCGTGGATTATGGTCTATGTTCTAATGTGGACCACTGATAAGTTTTTTTATGTACTTAATATACTCCTTAAAAAAAATGATCATTTGATATACTACAAATGAATTCTTAATACACAAAAAATCATCTTTTATTAGTGAGTAGGATTATTGTCCTCACTAAGTTGGTAGTGTAAATGGTTGTGTTATTATTTTTTAGATACTCGCTTGAGTTGTTAACTTTTTAAAATTGTTACGATATATAGAGTTTTGTTTGGAAATTTGAAAAATAATTTTTGGAACTATTTTTTGAATTTTCTCATATTTGAATATTTTTAAAAAATAAAGTTAAATGAAAATATTTTTATTGTCAACGTAAAAAATTGTCTTCTTAAATTTTTAGTTAGAAGATCTTTTTTTGATTCTTTAATTTTTCATATTTATCTTTTCTTTCATTTATTTTTAAGTTAATTTTCATATTATGATTCACACCACCACAACTACATAACCACCACCACACTAGCACCGCCACTAGCACCATCACCACCAAATAGAAAAATATAATTTTTTAACTTTCCATCAAACAGAATTAGATAATTTTTTAACCTTTAGTTAAACATTAAAAAATTAAATTATTTTTTGTAAAATAAGTTATTTTTTAAAAATCATTTTTCAGATTTTCAAAAAGATGGTTTAGTTGGTATATAAAATGTATATATATTTATAAAGTTAAATACATAATTTGTACTAAAAAATTGGAGATAAATCTCTGTTTAAAAAAAGAAAAAAAAAAGAGATAAATCTTCTAAATACTAAAATGGCGAATAAAATGAGATAGTCGGAACAATTATTATGATCAGTATCCACTTAGACCTAGAGTCATTGACTACTTTGACTGTCGGTCCGACCTGTCTCACTCTATTTAAATAGAGAGTGAGTTTTGAAAATAGCAACACGTCAAGGTGTGAACTTTTTGGCCCGCCCCACCCTACTTAAGTCCGCGAACTTGACAGGTCGCGGGCTGTCCGCTGCTTTTATATATATATATATATATTAAGGAAAATGCTACATGTATTATCATTTTCTACTCTCTAACTTTTACTCTCACATACAAAATCATGTAAACACTTGTATAGAGAATTAGAGACCCACATGAAGAAAGAAGTCTATCAGTGTTCGCCACATCAGGAAGTAAAATTTAGGGAGTATGATTTGAGAATTTATGTAGTAGAACTAATTTGGGAGTCTATGTAGTAGAACTAGTAATAAGACAAATATACCCAACAGAGTAGCTCTCTCTTTGTGGGTAATTTTTTTGAGATAACCTGATTCAATTTCCACAAGTGACGATTCTCGTTGTGTCTCTCGAAACAAGCGGAGATTAGATGGGTGGATCTGGGCCTGGACCGTTAAACAAGACAAAGAAAGACACGTGGTTTACGCACACACCCAAAAATAAAAAATAAAAAAAAAATAGCAAGATTAACATTAGGCTCCCTAGCGCTAGTCTTCACTCTTCCAAACTTCACGCCGCCTCGTCCGACCTCCATTCTCCAGTCTTCTCCGCGCAGACCGCGTCTCCACTCCCCACCCCAGCAGCACTCTTCCGCTCTTCGTCCACTACCAGACGGCGGTCTCCGCTCTCGCCAGTCGCCTCCAGCTCTCTTCTCCCTCTCCTACTCTTGCCGGTCCGCGAACGCTCAGGCGCTCAGCGTGATTGCTTGAACCCTCGCGAGTGAAGTCACGCCATCTCTCTCGCTCTCACAGAGTCGCGGGCTAACTCTCTCACTCTCAGTGCGGCGAGCTTGAGAATCAGGCAGGGTGGTGAATCTGCGATAACCTCCGGGATCTCCGCCGTCTCCGGTATGTCATAGCCTTCTACTACTGTGTTGAAAGGAGAAATATGGAGATTTAAATGTTTAATTAAATGTTTTTACTACAATTTTCTAACTTGTCTATCGATACTTTTTAGTATAATGGTTTGTTTTCTAGTACTTGTGGAAAGACTTGGGTTTTATTTATTTATTTTATTTTATTGTTTTACCCATGTTTGCTCTCTGGTTTATCAATTACAAAGATGTTCAAGATTTTGTTGTTATCTTTTATTTGCCTGAGATGATTATGCTATCTGTCTGCTAGGCCTGGGTTTTGCTCTTTTGGTTGATTGGGTGAATAACTTTTGTTTTTCATTGATTTTGCTTTTTGTTCTCGTTATTTACTTCTGTAATGTTTATTCCAGTAATTACTTGCCTTAAAATTATTTTGATTCAATTTGATTATGTAAACATAGTAATTTTGATATTCTAAAGTTTAATAGTTACTTCGGATTGCAAGAAAATGGAATTTTGCCCTACGTGCGGGATGTTGTTGCAATATGAGTTACCACATATGGACCGATCTGCCAGATTCTACTGCCCTGGTTGCCCATACGTCTGTCAAATTGAGCCTAGGGTATGAATGTGTGATACCTTCCAAAAAACCTCTTAAACCAATGTTACTTTGGGTTTAACATAGTTTTTTTTTTTTTTTTTCCAGATTAAGATCAAGAGAAGGCAACATCTAGTTAGGAAGAAGTTAGATCCAGTGATTTCAATAGATTCATTGGATAACGCCCAAACAACTAGAGGTAAGGGAAATGATCTTTATCTCATCTATTCCTTCTTTTAGTTGACTTGAGATTTTTAATCAATTGATGTTTACATCTTGGCTTCAAATTTAAATCTCTTCCAAGTGTTACTTTTTTCAGAATTCTCCGGTCTTATGATGGTTCATAATGTTATCCTGATTGAGTGCTTGTGCTGGTGTTTACTTGTTGGTATCCCATTTGTCAACTCGTAATTCTGTGTGACCTATGAGAATGGATAATGAATTATGATACCATGGACAGCTGCATAGCTTTGCCTTTAGTAGGATGGTGGTCCATCTAGCATAAATCACTCCTTGTTTAACCCAAGTATAGTTTGTTGGAGATTCTTGCGTTTTGCACCTTTGGACTTATTATCCCATTTATATTTTTGTCACTCTTATATGCAGTTGTAAATGGATTATATTGTAGTGTTCTTCAGTGGAGTTTGAGTCCTCCCTTTAGCCTATTTTCCTATTCAGAAAGTAACTCATTATATTTAGTAATATCTTGTATGAAATTAAAGGGCATAAAACTAACATCATACTTTTTATGGAAGAAAGTTTCTAGTTGGCAGTTTTGTGAAAATACAATGGCAGAATGTTGTAGTTTATTAACTTGAATCTGCCATTCTTACTTTATTGTGCATGCAGAAAGGTGCGAAATGTGTGGGTTCGATGAAGCAGCTTTCGTGGAAATGCAGACTAGGTCTGCAGATGAGCCTGCAACCCGGTTTTACAAATGCAAGGGGTGCCGACATACTTGGAATGATAGCAGCTAGGCAAATTCACTTGAACAACTGGGAAATTTTGAAGAAAAGCTAGGTGATAAGATATATTTGGGGAAGTTGATTGAGTTAGACAACTCTGTTCTTCTGGCTACTTAAGTTTTATTTATTTATTTATTGGTGTAAACATTTTTCTGCCCTCATTTTGGGTATTGGGTATGAATTGAGGAAATTTTGTTCTTTCCCTTTTAAATTTAAGAGCAAAGAAATGGTTATTGAAAACTTTGTAAGAAATTGTCTTCTTTATGCTTAGCTCTCTCTTTTTGAAATAGTATGAGAAATCTGGTTGACTCATTTAAGTTTATGGTTGAGTTAAAGAATTAGAACTGTCTAGTTGCCCACTGGATGACAAAAATATTGAGAAATTTTGTAATCATTCATACAGATTGTTTTTATATTAAGTGGATCTGGTGAATTAAGAGAGCAAGAAGAGTTAATTGAAGTGACAAGTGAGGAAGCATTAAAGGAATCACAGGGAATGAGGTGTTACTATACTTGTACATCCTCAGATTCCCAGATGCTTCTCCGAGACCTACTCACTACTCACTCAAATAATTTTTACTACCAAGTAATAAAATCCATGCAGAGATGAGACATTCATTCATAAAAGCTAAGCTAGCTTCAATATTCTTCCATCAAAAAGTATTGTTTCTATCTCCAGCCAAATGAATCACATTTACATTTCTGCCTATAAAGAAAGGAATTCATTGTATCTATCTCACTAATTTCTATTTTGTATTAACATTTCTCTCAATATCCTAAGAGCCAAAGACAAAAGCGTGTATCTCAGCCCAGCTTGAGGCTGTGTAAAGAATGCCGGACAGCCCTTTCCAAGTAGAAGAAGAGTCTGCTCCCTCGACCTCGACACATTCCCTCTGCTTCTTAACCACACCAGTAAAGAGTGGAACAAATTTGACACCAAAATGACTCGCCACGCTTATCAGACTTTCGATTGGAGCTAGCACGATCCCTACATCTGCTTTAAGCAAACACAGCAAGTCCCCTACTGCATCTCCGATGTAAACACTCACTGCTTTCTTCTTATCATTCCCTTCCCCGCTGCTCTCTAGGAGGATTTTGTCAAAAGCTTCAACCTTGTCAATGGGGGACTGCACCTTCATCATAATTCCACCAGTGGACAAAGATTCTTCAAATTCCAACTCATTCGCATGCACCTTTAAGTCATCTATACCCCCTAGTGACAACACAGACATTAAGAACATTAGGAAGAGATAACGATTTGATCTTCTAATCAAACTCCTCAGTAACCACATACCTGTTAAAAACACAGATCTAATGAGGTAATAACCACACCAACAATAGGAGATCACATGAACATCTGCATTCTTCTTTTTTATAGTTTGGAAAAAATTCATACAACCGTCTTGGAGTTCCAAAAGCTCCCCAGCTTCTCTTATGTCTTCCAGTTTAAGACCTTTAAGCACACCAGATTCAATCACCCTTAAATTTGCTTCTTTCTCAAAATCTGAAACTTGCTCAAGTGCTTTTCGCAGACCTTCATAGTTCAACTTCTCCGCTGCAAAACCAAAACAAAAATCTAAGCTTGCATGTATGGGGCAATATAATGGGGGTCATCAATTATCACAACCCATGAGATAAAATTACCTTTTTCAGTGGCTAACAACAACTTCTCTATACACTGCTCAAGCCCATCTCTGTACTTATTGGCGATAACTTTCCAATTGTCTCTTAGAGCAGACAATGTCATACGTGCAAATTGATTTTCTATTGGGATTTGATCAGATTCTGGAGCTGTTTCTATTGTAAGATCTGCCAAGGTGGAACCTGAATCAACACAAGTGCATGTCAAATCAAAATTGGAAAATATCATCAGTCGGCGTTCTTCTAGGTTATGCTCTCCTGAGAGGGGTACAATAGCTTTCTCAATAACTGGCTGAGCTAAGAAAAACTCTATCTCTTGTTTAATTCCTTGAGAATAAAGTCTTTCAATGATGCCAAGCTCCTCCACAGTCAAAGCCACACTTAACTTGTCCAGCAACTTCTCTGTTTGCAAACAAAAATCCTGGAAAACAACACCTTCAGTCATGATTTGTATCTTCTTAAAAGTTCAAATTAAAGAAAACAGAACAAAAATAACCAAACCTGGAAACTGTCTGAGGAGTAACTCTCAATCCACTTCTTGTAGCGATGATTAGTTTCATGTTCGCAAAAAAGTTCCCGCACCTCCTTACCAATGTACGCATTAAGCCTTATGCAAGATGTGATAGCGCCTAGGATATAAGCGGCCAACTTGGTTTTCTCAGAAGGTTTGATCCCATCAATCTTTCCCGACGTTATAGCCAAGAAGAAATTTGTGCACTTAGTAGTTGCTGGATTCGGAGTAGCATCGTCTCTGATCAAATCAGAGCGCCATTCCTGTAGTCCAATTCCATACATTTATAGAACAAATCTAGAATGAAGAAGAAGAAGCCGGAGGCAAATGACATGTGAAAGCAAGTAAATAAACACTTGGTAGTATTTTTACCCTGGCAACACACTGGATCTTCTTTCTGGTAATCTTCCTCAACTCTTTAATCCCATCCTTTGCTTCATTATCGAGTACGTATGCTTCTGCAAACTCAAACCTGCATTACATCCATTATTGATTCCTAAGTTACTACACTTTCTACAAACTAAACAAATAAAAAAGAACAAAGAAACTCTGCCAGCAGACTAATGACATTTTAAGAACATTATAAAAATAAAATACAAATTAAAGAAGGGTGTGTCTGGATAATCTCTCTATCAGAATTGAGCTTAGAAGAATCCTAAAAGTGCATCCGCATAAACTTCAGAATAAATTGTAGAGAAGCTAAGTAATTTTCAAGAAATGATACGATGGAATTAATAAATTTAAAGAATATAAATGCAAATATGTTTATATACATTGTCTTGCTTGAATTGATCAATAAAATAGAAAAGAAGGAATACATTCAAACGAAAAAAGAAATTCCCGCCATAAATAAGATAGAAAAGAACGAACACATTAAAACGAAAAAGAAATTCCCGCCATAAATAAGATTAGATTAGAGGAGGTTCTATATATTCTTCAAGAACAAAAAAAAAAAAAAAAGAAAAAAAACAACTGACGCTGTAGCAAATAGCTCGAGGAAATAAACGTCCTGTGCGATGCAATGTCTGAACGTCTCGACCTTGAGTTTTCCCGACGCCAAAGAGACGATTAAGGGAGTGTAGAGCGCGAATATCGCCTCGTCCCTGAACTTGACCCAGCAAGTCTGCGCTATGCCGTCGGCATTCCCAACCGCCGGCGGCGGATTTGAACTCGAACTAGCCGGCGGCGGCGGCTTTGAACTCGAACTAGACGACGTCGACGCCATTCTCGGGTGGTTGCGCGCGCAGTCACGTACTACTACCACTAGCAGTGGCGGAGGATCGGCGGCAGTAACTGCAAAATGGAAATCGGAAAAGCTAGCAGTACAATTCTCGCTCGGGGATTGAATTCGACTCATCGGAAAATCCAACTGATTCACTTATTTAAAGGAGTAATCCAGCGCGCTTAATGCCTGATCGGCTTAACGGTTACATGGCAAAACTATGGCGTTGTTCGTTAGGCCGTTAGGGGTTATTTTTTATTTTATACAGTAATTATTTTTTTTAGTTTAAGAGCATATTTAATAATGGTAGTTTTTGAGAAATTTTGATATGTGTAACTATAGGATGAACGGAAAAAAAAAGTTGAAAACTTAAAAAAAAAAAAATTCTCTCTAGTTTTTTTTATAATCCTTTTAAACAGATATTACATCTTTTTAGTCGAGTAAATCATGATAAACTGTAAGTGTTTGCATTAGAATGCTGATAAGTTATCCAACTCTCCCTAATTGAATGTGTAGAATGAGTTCGATTGTTATATCAGAGCTGTCTTTCGGATTTTTTTTTTTTTTTTTTTTTTTGTGCGCGTCCTGGATGGATACAGTTAATAGTCTCCCAAAAACCCTTTACTGGATAGTTGTTCACAACTTTGACTATAACAGGTTTAAGTTAAGATAGTCCCGTACGGGCTTAGTTCAATAGTTCAATAGACAGTATTTAGAAGAAGAGATCAATGTTTGAAGTTTGAACTTCGGTGGCGGCATTGTGGGTCGGGGTATAAGGGTCCTTGGGGTTGAGATTAAAACTTTTGGAAGAAGGTTTAAGTTACTGATCCTCAATACTACTTACAGGGCGTTTGGTTGGAGAGAATTTAAATTCCGTTCTCACGTAATTCCCACCTAATTCCAAAGGCCATTAAATTCATTAGTTTGGTTGGAAGGAATTGCAATTCCCTCATTTTCATGGAATTAAAATCACATGTCCCCCCTTAGGATTTTAATTGCATGGATTTTAGGAAGAAAAAAAGATAATGATGAGACAAAATTACCCTCCAATTTTTTAACCTAAAATTGATACCTGAAAACAACAATGGACATTTTAGACTTTATACTACTTATTCCCTTTCAATTCTCATGTATATCAAACATTGGAATTGAAATTCTCAGTAATTTTATTCCTGTAAACCAAACACTGGAATTTAAATTCCCATTTTATTCCCAGTAATTGATCTCCCATAGAATTGCAATTCCTTCCTTCCAACCAAACGCCCCGTTATTGTTACTTTTCATTTCTCAAATATCAATTAGTGATTTTTTTAAAAAAATATTTTGTAAATTAAGAGACGAACTTCAATGATTAATTGGTTTAATTTAAAAAGTGAAAGTAGGTCCTTTTGGACTAATCTTATGTTCGCAGAAACTTAAAATATGAGTTTTGAAAGATTTTTTTTTTTTTTTTTTAAAAATTCATGTTTATGTAATCAGGAAAATAATGTCAAAAGAAAATATTCATTTTCAAAGTGTTATTGTAAATAATAAATAAAACTCTTAGAATAAAAATGGCTAACTTTTGTCAGTGTGGATTCCTGTTTCACCAAACAGTACAATATAATATTTTTCTATAAATTCATAAAAATATTCTCATAAAATTTTAGTTGATGAACATGTTCTAGACATTGAAGATAGAACATCTACGCAGAGAATTGAAAGATGAAACATTCATAAATGCAAGCTTCAATATTGTTCAAAGAGAAATGATCGATCAAAAAGTATTGTTTGTGGCTAAGATCTCCAGCCAAATGAATCACATTTACATTTCTGAGCACAGTAGCCTCCTGCCTATAAGGAAAGGAAGAGTTGCAGTGTGTGTAGCCACAATAAAATTGGCCACCAAACTCATTGTATCTATCTCACTAATTTCAATTTTGTATTAACATTTCTCTCAATGTCCTAAGAGCCAATGACAAAAGCGTGTATCTCTGCCCAGCTTGAGGCTATGTAAATAATGCCGGACAAGCATTTCCAAGTAGAAGAAGATCCCTCGACCTCGACCTCGACACGTTCCCTCTGCTTCTTAACCACACCACTAAAGAGTGGAACAAATCTGACGCCAAAACGCTTCCCCACTCTTCTCAGACTTTCGCTTGAACTTGAAGCTAGCACGATCCCTACATCTGCTTTAAGCAAACACAGCAAGTCCCCTACATCCCCTCCGATGTAAACACTCAGCAGTTTCTTCTTATCATTCCCTTTCTCGCTGCTCTCTAGGATGATTTTGTCAAAAGCTTCAACCTTGTCAATGGGGGACTGCACCTTCATCATAATTCCACCAGTGGACACAGATTCTACAAATTCTAAGTCATTCGCATGCACCTTTACGTCATCTACTTCCCCTAGTGACAAGACAGACATTAAGAACACATTAGGAATTGAAGAGATCGATAACGAACGAGTACAGTTGATCTATATATCTTCTACTCACATACCTTTTGTAAAGACAGCTCTAATGAAGTAACCAGACCAACAATAGGAGAGCACATAAACATCTACTGCATTCTTCTTTTTTATAGTTTGGAAAAAGTTCATACAACCGTCTTGGAGTTTCACAACTTCCCCAGCATGTTTTATGTGTTTCAGTTGAAGACCTTTAAGCAGGCCAGATTCAATCACCTTTAAATTTTCTTTTTTCTCAAAATCTGAAACTTTCTCAAGTGCTTTTCGCAGACCTTCATAGTTAAACTTCTTCACCGCTGCAAAAGCAAAAGCAAGAGCTTAATTAGAATCTAAGGCATCAATTATCACAAGCTAGCCAGCCATATATGAGATAAAATAATTACCTTTTTCAGTGGATAACAACTTCTTTATACACCGCTCATACCCATCTCTGTACTTCTCGGAGATAACATCCCAACTCTTTTTTAGATCAGACGATGTCATATGTGCAATTTGATTTTCTGTTGAGATTTGTTCAGAAACTCGAGCTGTTAGTACTGAAAGTTCTGCAAATGAAGCAGATGAACTAACTTTAGTGCATGTCAAATCAAAATCGGAAAATATCATCAGTCGGCGATCTTCTAGGTTATGCTCTCCTGAGAGGGGTACAATAGCTTTCTGAATAAGTGGCTGAGCTAAGAAATAGTCTATCTCATGTTTAATTCCTTGAGAATAAACTCTTTCAACGATGCCAAGCTCCTCCACAGTCAAAGCCTCACTTAACTTGTCCAGCACCTTCTCTGTTTGCAAACGAAAATCCTAGAAAACAACACCTACTATACAGTCATGATTTGATTGTATCTTCTTATTAAAGAAAAGAAAAATAACCAAACCTGGAAACTGTTTGAGGAGTAATTCTGAATCCACTTATTGTAGCGAGGTTCGGAAAAAATTCCCCGCGCCTCCTTACCAATGTACGCATTAAGCCTTATGCAAGATGTCATAGCGCCTAGGATATAAGCGGCCAACTTGGTTTTCTCATAAGGAGTGAATCCTCTAGAAAGAGGTTTGATCCCATCAATCTTTCCCAACGCTGTATCCGACAAGAAATCTATGCACTTAGAAGTTGCTGGATTCGGAGTAGTATCTTTGACCACATCAGAGCCCCATTCCTGTCCAATTCCATACATTAATTTATACAACCAATCTAGTATGAACAAGAAGAAGAATCTAGTACGTAAATAAACACTTGAATTGGTAGTATTTTTAATTACCTGGACAAAATAATCATGCAAGTTGAGCTTCTTTTTTGTAATCTTCCTCAACTTATTCACCACACGCCTATCATCATCATCGACTGCGTATGTTTCTGCTAACTCAAACCTGCAATACATCCATTATTGATTCCTAAGTTACTATGTTTATATACATTGTCTTGCATTGCTTGATCAATGAAATAGGAAAGAGAGAACACATTAAATTAAGAAAAAAAGAATAAAGAAATTCCCGCCATAAATAAGATAGAAAAGAACGAACACATTAATTAAAACGAAAAAGAAAAAGATATTCCCGCCATAAATAAGATTAGATCAAAAGAACTCACGCTTGATCAAATGGCTTGAGGAAATGAACGTCCTGTGCGATGCACTGTCTCAACGTCTCGACCTCGAGAGTCCCCGACGCCACACAGACGATGAAGGGAGTGTAGAGCGCGAATGTCGCCTCCTGACTGAACTTCACCCAGCAAGTCTTCGCTATGCCGTCGACTATGATCTCCTCCTTCGGGAGCTTCGGCGGCGGCTTTGAACTCGAACTAGCCCGCGGCGGCGGCGTTGAACTCGGACTAGCCGGCGGCGGCGTTGAACTCGGACTAGCCGGCGGCGGCGGCTGCGGCCTTGAACTCGAACTAGCCGGCGGCGGCGGCTGCGGCCTTGAACTCGAACTAGCCTGCGGCGGCGGATTTGATCTCGAACTAGCCGGCCGCCGCGACTTTGAACTCGAACTTGAACCCGAACTCGACGCCATTCTCGGGTGGTTGCGCGCGCAGTCACGTACTACTACCACTAGCAGTGGCGGAGGATTGAATTCGTAACTGCAAAATGGAAATCGGAAAAGCAGTACAATTCTAGCTCGGTGATTGAATTCGACTCATCAACTAAATCCAACTCATTCAGTTATTTAAGCGAGTAATCCAGCGCGCTAAATGCCTAGTCGGCTTAACGGTTACATGGCAAAACTATATGGCGTTGTTCGTTAGGCCGTTAGGGGTTATTTTTTATTTTATAATTATTTTTTTTAGTTTAAGAGCATATTTAATAATGGTAGTTTTTGAGAAATATAATTTTGATATGTGTAACTATAAAAGAGAATATAGGATGAACGAGAAAAATAAATAAATAACAAAACAAAGTTAAAAACTTTAAAAAAAAAAAAAAAAAAGGAAATAAATTGACATTAACGTGCTTGATTGGGCGTTATGTAGTACAAAGTGATTTTTTTTAATAAAAATCAATGTTTTGCATAGTAATTTTTCACTCATATATATATACTAGTCTTTTTTATGCGCGATGCGCAAAAACATATATGCCCAATATTTATATTTTAAAAAATAACTAACAAATTTTTACTAATTAAAATCAAAGTGAAATAAAATTATTTATTATATTAATCTAATATATAATAAATATATAATGTTTTACAAATATTTTGTTATAATTAAATAATATAAGAAAAGATATGGTAGATGCATGTGCATGGTAAGTAACGGAAAAGATAACGGAAGTTATAACGGTAAGGGTATTTTTGTCCAAAAAATTGTATAGTACAACTCTAGAAGCACAATGTACAAAATAGTTAGCATTAAAAATATGGACATAAATGAGGGATATAACTTTTATTGAGACTTATTATGTTTTTAGATATGGAAGGGATCAGGTGCAGTCGTGGCTTCCTATGCGGTTGTGCGGTGGATTGCGTGAGGTTTATACTTAATGTGCGTGAGTGTTGTGCTTAATGTGCCTGAAATTTGTACTTAATGTGTGTAATGTTAATATGCGTGAGTTTTGCACACTTGTGGATTTCTGTTGTATTATTCTCATAATTCTTAACCACCATAGCCTGCATCCGCATCATCATCATCAGGGATGGGGCAATGGCTACTGGGGATGGGGCAATGGCTACTGGGGATGGGGAAGAAGCTGACATCCATATTTTCTGTTGCATTTTACACATTCACGCACATTAAGTACAAATCTCAAACACATTAAGCACAACACTCACGCACATTGAATACAAATCCCACGCACATTAATCAACTTGGAAGCATTCAACCGCACGGAACCTTTCAATATATATATATATATATATATATATATATATATATATATATATATATATATATTATTTAAAAATAATTAACTAACAGCTTTAATATATTATGTATTAGTAGGTCATGTTAGCCTATAAAATACTTTTGTTTATCAAATTAAAGCTGTTTACCACTAATTCTTATTTCATTTGTTTTGCTTCTTGCCTAAACTCCACCGCCACCTCCCACTAATCACGGTGCATGCAGCATCTGACTTTTGCTACTTCCTATTTCCAAAGAATGAACAGTGAAGGGCTGTAGCGACGAACGGCGGCGGCAACAAGAGGGAACGACAACTTTTGGACAGAGTGATGGGCGGCATGCAGAGTCCATGGCCGAACAAGATAGCACTAGGAAGCTTTTCTGCATATATATAAATCTGGAAAAATGAGAGTCCAGACGGCAGGGGACGAAGAAGATGATGTGTTTCACGCCGGCGAGGATTGAGCTGCAGTATCATACTGGGCATGAAGAAGACCGATGAACTCGCCGGCGAACCTCTACTACTCCACAACGTTTGATTCTTCAATTGTGAGGAGAAAACAATACGAACCTTTCGGATCTTTTTCTGGAAATTTTCGATTGCCTGGAGAGTCCCAAAAATTACAGACGGCACTCGTGGATGACGATCTCTTCTGGATTCTAACAGCAAACCCGAGTCTCACAGCTACGGCAGCTGTGCTGATCATTGCATGCATAAAACTTCAGCTTCCCCAGAGCTGTCTGGATTTTTTCCTTTGCAGATTTAACTTCTTGCTTTTCCTGGTTGATAGAGTAGATGATAGGTTTAGCCTCGTCTCTTGTCCATATGTGGAAGAAACTGGAGGGTGCTTCTCACCAGAACATTTCACTGCAATGACGAAGGTGTCGATGGCAATGTGGTTGGTCGCCGGAGAAGCTTAATTGCTGACTGCTAATCTTCTAGCGTAGTGGTCTGGGCGTTGGTCACCTAATCTCTCTGTAGTTTTTTTTTTATTTTTATTTTTATTTTTTATTTTTTATGGTAGACGGCTACGGTAATTTCCGTGTACGTAGGAAGTATGTATGAATAATAATGGAGTACACAAGAAGAGAAAGAGAGTGTGTGCGGAAGAAGAGGGGAAGAACCCTTCATGTGGAATGTTTTCACAATATGAGTTACCCCATATAGATCGATCTGCCAATATGAGTTCATGATACTTTTATACGTATATGTCCACCTTATGAACGAATGAGTATCGTTACTCTAGTTGTGCACGTGTCATTTGTTTTAATGATGAAATATTATACTAGACCCTCCAAATTTCAGTCTAACGGATAAAACACAAACTAACTAAGACCAATGACTAAGTAATCCGTTTGCATAGTAAAATTCATTAAAATTTTACAAATTAATTGTAATTTAATTATTTATATTATGAATTCATTTATTTTTTTTTTGAAAGGAAAAAAATGCCATGATTTGTTTTTTCAAGGGAAAAATAATGATCTTAAATAAACTGATAAAACTATAAAAAAAAAAAAAAAAAAAAAAACTGGCAAAGGCTCTAGTGGCAGAGAAGGCTTGTGGTTCCCTCTAAAAAATCCCCATGGCTTCTTCTATTCTTTCTGCTGTTCTTCGTCTTCATCATCGGAATCTTCCCAACTATCTCTCTCCCCATCTTACCATGCCCCTTCTCTTCACTGCTCTGCGCCACTTTTTTACATTAATTCTCTCAAATTCTCAAGCATTTTTGTGATGTGATGGCCGTCGCAACTCAACTCATATCCAATGCTCATAGGTAGCCGTTGGATTCTTTATTTTTCGTCGAAAATATTTATTCTGGTCAACGGAAAGGAATCGAATGAGGTTAGTATTCTTCTAAGAGCCAAAGACAAAAGCGTGTATCTCAGCCCAGCTTGAGGCTGTGTAAAGAATGCCGGACAAGCCGCCTTTCCAAGTGTCTTCTCCGGCCTCCATCTCTTTCACACATTCCCTCTGCTTCTCAACCACACCACTAAAGAGTGGAATAAATCTAACGCCAAAATGCTTCCCCACTCTTCTCAGACTTGGGCTTGAACCTACCACGATCCCTACATCTGCTTTAAGCAAACAAAGCAAGTCCCCTACTGCATCTCCGATGTAAACACTCACTACTTTCTTCTTATCGTCATTCCCTTTCCCGCTGCTCTCTAGGAGGATTTTGTCAAAAGCTTCAACCTTGTCAATGGGGGACTGCACCTTCTTCACAATTCCACCAGTGGACAAAGATTTATCAAATTCTAAGTCATTCGCATGCACCTTTAGGTCATCTAAACCCCCTAGTAGAACACAATTATTGAAGTGTTATAGTGAGAGGAAGAAGAAGAGATAAGTTGAGATCTTCTAATCACATACATACCTGTTAAAAAGGCAGATCTAATGAGGTAACCACACCAACAATAGGAGATCACATGAACATCTGCATTTACATTTTTCTTCTTCTTTTTTATAGTTTTGAAAAAATCCATACAACCGTCTTGGAGTTTCAAAAGCTCCCCAGCTCGTCTTATGTTTTCCAGTTTAAGACCTTTAAGCACACCAGATTTAATCACCCTTAAATTTGCTTCTTTCTCAAAATCTGAAAGTTGCTCAAGTGCTTTTCGCAGACCTTCATAGTTCAACTTCTCCGCTGCAAAACCAAAAGAAAAATCTAAGCTTGCATGTATGGGGCAATGGGGGTCATCAATTATCACAGCCCATGAGATAAATTACCATATTCAGTAGATAACAACTTCTCTATACACTGCTCATACCCATCTGTGTACTTCTTGGAGATAACTTTCCATTTTTTTCTTAGATCAGACAATATCATACGTGCAGTTCGTCTTTGATTTGATTTTGGAGCTGTTACTATTGCAAGTTCTGCCAAGATGGCACATGAATCAACAAAAGTGCATGTCAAATCAAAATCCGAAAATATCATCACTCGATTATGCTCTCCTGAGAGGGGTACAACAGCTTTCTCAATAACTGGCTGAGCTAACAAAAACTCTGTCTCATGTTTAATTCCTTGACAATAAAGTCTTTCAACGATGCCAATCTCCTCCCCAGTCAAAGCCACACTTAAGTTTTCCAGGCACTCCTCTGTTTGCAAACAAAAATCCTAGAAAACAACACCTATTATACAGTCATGATTTGTATCTTCAATTCTTAAAAGTTGATAAAAAGAAACAAAAATAACCAAACCTGGAAAGTGTCTGAGGAGTAATTCTCAATCCACTTCTTGTAGGGATGATGTTCGCATAAAACTCCCCGCACCTCCTTGCCAATATATGCATTAAGCCTTATGCAAGATGTGATAAGGCCTATGATATAAGCGGCCAACTTGGTTTTCTCATAAGGAGTGAATCCTCTAGCAAGAGGTTTGATCCCATCAATCCTTCCCAACACTGTATCCAACAAGAAATTTTTGCACTTAGAAGTTGCTGGATTCGGAGTAGTATCTTTGACCACATCAGAGCCCCATTCCTGTACTCCAATTCCATACATTTATAGTATTTTTTATGTGAAATTAAAGCAAGTAAATAAACACTTGGTAGTATTTTTACCTGGACACAATAATCATGCAAGTTGAGCTTTTTTATGGTAATCTTCCTCAACTTATTAATCCAATGCTTATCATCATCGTCTGCGTATCTTTCTGCTAACTCAAACCTGCAATAATTCCTAAGTTACTACACTTTCTACAAACTAAACAAATCAAAATATAAGAATAAAAAGAACTGACGCTTGAGAAAATGGCTTGAGGAAATGAACGTCCTGTGAGACGCACTGTCTGAACGTCTCGACCTTAAGATTTCCCGACGCCAAAGAGACGATGAAGGGAGTGTAGAGCGCGAATGTCGCCTCCTTGCTGAACTTCACCCAGCAAGTGTTGGCTATGCCGTCGACTAAGTCCACCTCCCACGGGAGCTTGGGAATATTCCCAACCGCCGCCGCAAGCTTTGATCTTGAACTCGACGCCATTCTCGAGCGCAGTCGCGTACTACTACCACTAGCAGTGGCGGAGGATCGGCGGCAGTAACTGCAAAATGGAAATCGGAAAAGCAGTGATTGAATTCGAGTCTCAAGGCGCATCAAGTAAATCGAACTGATTCAGTTATTTAAGCGAGTAATCGAGCGCGCTTTACTGCCTAATCTGCTTAACGGTTACATGGGAAAACTATGATGTTTTTTTTGTTTTTTTTTTTTTTTTTGATAAAGTACAAATAAGCAATTGAACTATTTGAAAAACAACAATTAAGCCATCTAACTCAAATAACCCTCAAATAAGCCATTGAACCCGAAAAAAAAAGAGCAAATAAGCCATTGAACCCTAAAAAAAAAAAAGAGCAATTAACATTTTTTACAGGTTAACTCCAGGTTTTTGCTAATTAGATTGCCAAGTGTTTATTTTATTTACGTTTATTATTTTTTTAATAATATTATCCACTTGAATAGTATTATATTTTAAAATAATTATAATCAAAATAGTTTTGTCTTGTCGAGATTTGATTTATTTATTATTATTATTTTTCACTGGATCTTTTGTTTAAAAAATAATAATAAATAAATAAATTAGATCTAGACAAAACAAAACTACTTTGATTGTAATTACTTTAAAATATTTTACTATGTAGATGGATTATAATAATAAAAAAAACGTAAATAAAATAAACATTTGGCAATTCAATCAACAAAAACCTGGAGTTAACCTGTTAAAAAAGATAATTGCTCTTTTTTTCCGGGTTCAATGGCTTATTTGGGGATTATTTGAGTTCGATGGCTTAATTGCTTTTTCCCAAATAGTACAGTGGCTTATTTGTACTTTATCACTTTTTTTTTTTGTTTAATACTCTTAACATATCTTTAGAGCATATTTAATAATTGTAGTTTTTGAGACGTTTTGACATGTGTAACTATGAAAAAAAATATAGGAGGAGAAGAGAAATAAATAAAAAACAAAAACAAAAAGACAAAGTTGAGAACTAAAAAGGAAAAAGAAAAAAACGGCATTAATGCGATCTACTGGGTGTTGTGAGACACGAAGTGATTTTTTTGATAAAACAAGATTACCATTTATCGATAAATGTACTTGTGTTCACATAAATAACATATATCATATAATATCACATATAATATCAATATGTACACTAGTCGGGGAAAATAATAATTCAAGTGAATATAAAATCTTACCACCGAAGGCAAACTTTCTATCAACCTTAATAGCATCCTAACCACCTTGATAAGAAACCTGTGAATAAAATAAATCCAATAATAATAATAACCGAAGCATATTATTCATTGATCATCATCATCACCAATCTCAACAAACTTAGATTTAAACAAAAGAATTTGGAGAGTAGAAACAATTACCTGAAGTAAAGATTAAGTGAATGAGTTTTGTTAGGATTGAAGAATACGTAGGAATAGATTGAAAATCATGAAGAACCAGTAGTGTGAGAGAAGATGAATGAATGCCAAATTCTATAAATTTGTATTTATAGATGGAAAATAGTAATTCGAAAGGAAAGTATAATAATTTATTTAAAAAATATAGAAAGTAAAGTAAGGTAATAAAATTATTATTATTATATATAGATTAAATTAAGGGAAAATGGTACTTTTTCTCCCTAAGTTATATACTTATAGCATTTTTTCCCCGTCAATTATTTATGTAAGCACATTAGCCCTCTCAATTATTTTAAAAGTGGTGGTTTTTCCCCCTGATATATTAAATTGACATTTCTACCCTTAAAGTAAACACTTTATTTATTTTACTTCTCCAACAAATTATTGTGTATATGTAGCAATGACCACGGTTCGGTTCGAACTAAACCGGACACTATAGCAATCGAATTAAAATTGTTCGGTTATGATTCAGATCTAGAACCCAATATTTGAATTTCAATTTATTAAATTTATGAACCAAAAAAACTGGATCATGAACCGTTTACCGGCGGTTCTGGATCCGGTTCGCGATTTTGAACGGTCTTTATTTTAAAATTTTATTTTATTTTTTATTTTAAAATAGTCTTAATTCAACAATAAATGTATTTTATTTTTTCAGTTCGGAACATGAACCGACCATTCCGGTTTGCGATTTTAATAAACTCTAAATATCGCGTTTTGATTCTAAATTGTAATTGGAATATTTTGATTTGGTTGCTATAGTATCTGTTTGGTTTGAACCAAATTATAGTAATAATTTGTTGGAGAAGAAAAATAAATGAAATATTTATTTTAAGGGTAAATATGTCCATTTAACATTTTAGGGGGAAAAGAGCCACTTAAATAATTTAGAGGAAAAAAGTGCTATAAGTATATAACTCAGGGGGAAAAAGTGCCATTTTCCCTTAAATTAAATATTAATTATATATAATGTCTATATATATATCACACGAAATATTTACTATATTTAATTATTTAATTATTCTTTTATTACCTAATTTATATTTATATATTATTAATATCAATATATACATCCATATATATTGTGAAAGTGCATTTTTATTTTTGTAAATTTGTGTAACATCAAGTATTGTCACTCTCTTTTGTTTTAATGATAAAATATTAAACTAAACTCTTTAAATGTTGGTCTAATGGTTAAAACACAAATTAACTAAACAAGATTGAAAGATCAACTCTTGTATAACTAGGCAATCCCTTAGCATAGTAAAATTCATTGTAATTTAATTATTTTTATTATGAATTTAACATTTTTTTTTGAAAGGAAAAAAATGCCATGATTTGTTTTTTTTTAAAGGAAAAATAATCATCTTAAATAAACTGATAAAACAAAAAAACTGGCAAAGGCTCTAGTGGCAGAGAAGGCTTCTTGTTCCCTCTAAAAAATCCCCATGGCTTCTTCTATTCTTTCTGCTGTCCTTCGTCTTCATCATCGGAATCTTCCCAACTATCTCTCTCCCCATCTTACCCCTACAATCTCCCACCATGCCCCTTCTCTTCACTGCTCTGCGCCACTTTTCTACATTAATTCTCTCAAATTCTTCAAGTCCTCAAGAACGGTCCCGTTTGCTGTCACAGAATCCGACTCCCCTAAATCCATCGAACCCGACCCGCAGGCACTTCTTCAAGAAGTTGCTGTAAGCTCAAATGCTCATCCATCCTTTCGATGTTAATTCCTTTATTTTTTTTTATTTTTATTTTTTGCGTTGATGAAGCTATTGCTTGTGTTTTATTTTCCTTTCAGGACAGTTTTGTTCTCCCTGCGGATTATTTCTCTCGGCTGCCTCGCGATCTTCGTCTCGATGTGAGTTTAGGGTTTTGGGCTCTTAAAGCTTACATTTTTAACAAATATGAAGTATTGTAAATTGGAAATGTCAGTGTGAAAATCATGCTGGCAGAAATTGATAGACTGATTTTATTTTGCTCCAGCATCATGAGTTTTTGTATAGTTATTGAAATGTCAAACTGACTATATTATGCAAGACTCTAGTGGTGTGCTTCTAATTTACCTCAGTTTGAGTGTTTCTCTTGGAATGGTGGGGGGAATGGAAACTAACCAGTTTGGTGATTTCTAACTTGTGGAAATTTTCAATGGTATGAAGTTGAATGATGCAGCCTTTGATCTTTCAAATGGTCAAGTTAAAACTGAGGTTAGTTATCGATACTATTATCTTTAATTTTACCATTTGTATTTATTTTTCTTAACCACCTTCGGTAAATTGTTGAATTGGATGCTTACTAACTAAATGAAAAATAAAAGTTGAGATCTTTGAAGTAAACTCTTACAGTGTGGTGAAGATCTCGGGGAGACATTGCTAAATATAAGTCGAGCATGGGAACAAGCTGACACATCAACATCCACAGCTTTAATGAAGACGGTTCCTCAGCTGGCAGGCTCTTTGACCGGTTATCAAAAATCAGGCAAGAAATTCAGACTACAGTTCTAAGGCTTTGCTTTTACAAGCATGTAGTTATTTAAAAATGAAATAGCTGAACTTTGTTTTATTGTTAGTTAGCACTTGGAAAGCGCATATTATCTGCTGGAAGGAGGTTTCAATCCATGGGACAGTATGGTCAGGGTGAAGTGCAGCTGGTAGTGTACTTACACTTTATTAATGCTTTTATGTAAATATCAAAGTTTTTTTTTTATTTACCCCTAACACAAACCCCACACTGTTGGAATACAAGAGCAAAATTTCATTATGTGAAGCAACACAATTTAAAGGTGTCCAACACATTTAAATTGACTCTTTGCTAAAGTTTACACCTTTAACATTAATTATCGTGGAATTAGTCATTTATTTGACACCTTTGAATTTATGGGTGAATATAGATTGCTAAAGTGATGATGAGGAATGGAAAGCTCTTGTCTGCAAGTCCAGTATCTGGAGGCACTGATGAAGAACCAAAGCAACAAATCCGGACCTTTAAGGTAGTTAGGGTGTTACTTTTGAAGTTGGGATAAAGTTTTCTTGCTCTTAGGGGAACATTTGTGAGAGAGAATATTTCTATGGTGCAGTTTGGTGAGCTTCAGGTTGCACTGACTTCAGAAAAAGCGTACATTGGAGCTGCTATTGGTGCTGTATTTGGGTAACTGTTTCATTTTCCGTCTAAAAATAGTACGAGAATCATCATCATCATCATCATCATAATTATTTTCTATCTTCCAAATATAGGGTTCTTTCTTGGGGATTAAGCCAAGGTGTTGCAAGTATACCTGAAAGCTCATTGCAGTATGCAAATGACAATGCTTTGTTACTTGCTAAGGTAACATAACGTACAGGGTAGAAGAAGCCTTTTACTTTGTTCTATAATTTGGCATTTATGGAACTAGTTTCTTTTGCAGTCACTGCGTGGATCTCTTCTCGTACTTTTCTATTCCTCTACAGCCTTATCCGCTTTTGCTACAGTGGGACTTGTTTTACTTGCCGGACAACTTAAGTCAAGCGATAAGTAAGTGCCATCTTTGCCTAGCCACTTTCTTTCTGTTATAAAACTGCCAGACTATATTTCACCTGGTCTCATGGTAACAATATTGGATACAATATTTCATCGACCATATCCAATGCTCATAGGTAGCATTTGTCCTTCCAATATAGAATCTTGGAATACATTCATCTCATTTGGCAATGAACTCATTTCCTTTCCATACTGATATCCTTTTTATAGGCTGTCATGTTCTAGTTATGCTAAGACTATATTCCGTATCACCTGTTGTTTGAATGCCAGGGAATGACCCATTGGCGATGGAAAATCTAACATGCTACTTTTATAGAGCGGACTCCTACAAAGACTTGAAAATGTCGAGAGATTTACAAGTTATTGGTTTGATGGCTGTAACTTGTAAGCTGTCAAGAATTTATGTATATTAAATATCTCCCAGTTTTTTTCATAATCCTTTTGAACAGATATTACATCTTTTTAGTCGAGTAAATCGTGATAAATATGTAAATGTTTACATCAGAATGCTGATAAGTTATCTAACTCTCCCTAGTTGAATGTGTAGAATGAGTTGGATTGTTATATCAGAGCTGTATTTCGGAATAATTTTTTTGTGCAGTTAGCATCCTGGATGGATACAGTTAGTTTCCCAAAAACCCGTTACTGGATAGTTGTTCACAACTTTGACTAGAACAGGTTTAAGTTTAGATAGCCCCGCACAAGCTTAATTCAATGGTTAAATAGACAATATTTGAGAGAAGAGACTAATATTCGAAGGGAGAAGTGTCAAATAGGCCCATGTACTATTGTCAAGTGCTCAATTCCCACCATGAACTAAATTAAAGGCTAATTAACCACACTTACCTATTAAATTTGTTCAATTAGCTTAGTGCTCAATTCCCACCATGAACTAAATTAAACGTTAATTAACCACACTTACCTACTAAATTTGTTCAATTAGCTTTTTTTGCAGGTAATTGACTTTTTTTTGCAGGTTACTAATTCAATTATTAAAAAATAAAATTCAAAATAATTTAAAAATTATTTAAAAAAAAAAAAAAAAAAAAAAGAATACAGCCTTCCCCTTTTCAACTTGTTTCCTTCCCCTTTTCCATCCATAGTTTCGTAGAGAAATAGTGGTTCTCGCTTTCTGTTTCCAGATCCTGTTGCAAATCTTGTTTTTAATTGTGCCATTATTTAAAACTGACTAGTAATCTTAAAAAAATAAACACTTGCAAAAATATTTGAGCAGGAATTTTTGAGGGGTTAATGTTCTGTCTGGGCAGTTTGTGATTTGAAGTTATTTGGTGTGGTTATTTGGTGTGGTTGAATTTTTATGTCAATGTTTTGTTTAACATAGTTGTGTGCTCATATATGACTGTGTTGTGGTTTGGATAACATGCAGCAGCTTGTGCCAAGCTTACCAGACTGGATGAGTGGAGGTTGTGGCATCAATAGGGTACTGGAATTGGTAACTTTGAAATTTACGAGCCTTTACCTGGTTAAATTGTTATGCACAAGGGATCAGATGAGATTTTGATGGATAGCTGGTTGGCAACCACCGGCTGTCCGGCGAGGACAGCCGGTGGCTGTATTCTTTTTTCTTTTTTTTATTTTTATTTTTATTTTTATTTTATTTTTATTTTATTTATTTTAATAATTAAATTGGTAACCTGTTGTTAACCTGTAAAAAAAGTCAATTGAACAAATTTAACTTGTAGATGTATTTATTTGACACTTAATTTAGTTCGTGGTGGAAATTGAGCACTTCACAGTAGTAGGTGGGCCTATTTGACACTAGTGCCAATATTCGAACTTCGGTGACGGCATTGCAAGTCGGGATATGAGGGCCCTTGGGGTTGGGATTAAATCTTTTGGAAGAAGGTTTAAGTTAGTGATCCTCAATACTACGTATTGTTACTTTTCGTTTCTCAAATATAAATTAGTGATTTTTTTTTTAAAAAAATTATTTTGCAAATTAAGAGACGAACTTCAATAATTAATTGGTTTAATTAAAAAAGTAAGTAGGTCCTTTTGGGCTAATTTTATGTTCTGTTTAGAAACTTAAAATATGAGTTTTGAATGATATTTTTTTTAAAAATTTCATGTTTATGTAATCAAGAAAAATTTTCATTCTAAAAGTATTATCGCAAATAAATAAATAAAACTCTTAGAATAAAAATGGCTAAGTTGACAATTATCAAATCTTTGTTGTCAGTGTGGTTCCCTGTTTCACCAAACGATACAAAGAAATGATGTCATCGCAAATTAATTAAACTAAGTCGCATTAATTAAATAATATAAATTAAAAAAGATGATAAAAACAGCATCATCATTAAATCGTAGTAACAACCAACCTACCAGTCTCAATATTTTAGTTTAAGTGACTGCTAGTTGTTTGAGAAGCCATGAGCCTTTGCCAGTATTTGACAACCTCAACTTTTATATATATATATATATATATATATATATATAAAAGATGACAAAGAAACACATAATTACTACCTGCACTAGATAAATTATATTTTTTTATAATAACCATAAATTATAAAAAAAAAAAAAAAGATAAATCATATTTAAAAAAATTTTATGTAATAAATTTAACTGAAATAATATTGACAAAAATTAAATTCCTAATTTTCATGTATAACCTGCTTAACTATCCTTTCGGGGCACCTCAACTTATATTTGGTCATTACAAATATTGTCCCTCTACTTAACTATAATTATGGACAGTCAACTTATAAGTTATAAACAGCCATACGGGGAATCTTTAGTGTCCAGGATTCCCATGACGCACGCAATAACGTGGACTATTCGCTGCCTCACGCTTCTCTATATATTTTATACAACATACCAAAATTTAAACTACTAAAAATATAATAATGTGTGCATCACTCACGTAAGCTCTGCTTACATTCTGGTTTTTCAATCAAATCAAATAAATGTTTTTCTTTTTCTGTATATTTTAATTTTTACCTATAAGATGCATGATAATTGATTCTTAACAAGGAGAGGTATGAAATTGATATTATTGTAAAAGAAATTAAGAAATTTATAGACCAATGAGATACGTTTTACAATATATTCTTTATCAAGAAGTTAAGTTTTGATTGTGTTGTATAGGTGTTCATAAGGTTGAAGTTCAATTATTGTTTTTTTTTTTGTTTAATACTAAAAAAATTTCAATTGCATGCAAGGTGTATGATTCGATTCTTATCAAGAGGAGGTATGAAATTGGTATTATTATTGTGGGCAAAACTTGTATACTATTGAGGTGTAGCATGCGATTTACTTCCACAACAATACTCTAGGACTGAACTGAGGCAGCGTGGGAGCCCTTAGGGTTGCAGTTTAATCAGTTATTTTATTTTTATTATGTACTATAATTTTTCAACTGCAACATGCAAGATGCATGATTCGGTTCCTATCAATAGGAGGTATAAATTAGTTTTATTGATCAAGACATATATAAGCTCCAAATGGTTACGACTTACAAAGTTAAAAAGTAACAATTATGCAACGAATGTGGTGGTCAAGGAGTAGAACATAATTTTTGTATTAGAAAGTTACGAGATCTTTCTGATGTGGTTTGCAATGCAAACTATTACATAAGAACAAGATTTATTTAGAGTACACCCTCAAGTAGTGGTTATTGTATGTTTCTCTCATCATTAAAAAAATAAAATTAAAAAGAAAAATAACACTATACCACTATAATGTATGTGTAAATTTTGAATTTTAAACTTTAAGATTATAGGAATAGGTGCTGTTTGGCCATTCTTGAATTATATTCTAGAATATAATGGACTGTTATCAAAGAATCATTTAATGTGATCTAACGTGCCAAATGAACTTAACCAACTAGATCAGGAGTACGTCGCTAGTGAGTGTGGACCATTGACACCATGTACTATATATTTATGGTATTACAATTTGAAATATTATATGATCTAGCTAGCAGGTATAACCGTATTAGTATATAAGATTGAATTTTGATGATGCTATTCAATATTGCAGTTGATATTCATAAAATATTTTTATCGAATAAGAGTTGAGTATTAAAATATTTTACAGGTTAATTGTACTTTTTGTTCTTCAGGTATAAATCAAGTGTAAACTTGATCTATAATTATTACTATTAATTGTCTCGTGCAATGCGCGAACTATTATTAATTTAACAAATTTATCAATTAAATTTTTGACATTCTCTAAATTAGCAAACAAAAGTAATGGTTGTGAAAATAGACAAACGTATTTGAGTTCTTGAGTTCAGAATTAGTTTGATTAAAAATGTAAGTATAACTATACAATGTAATATTTAATATTTTTAAAAGTTTAATTATGCAATTATTATGTTGATTTTAAAGTTTTTTTTTTTTTTGAAAGGAGCCGTCATGGCATTTATTCAAAATACTGCGAAATAATGTGAGGCGGAACATAGTCCCAATACATAATAGCAGGCTGACTAGAATTAGATAAAGCTAAAGTATGAGCTAAATAATTCTCCGATCTAGGAATGTAAATAACTGAACAATAATTAAAAGTAACGATACGCGCCCTGCAGGCATCTATGGCATAGCCAATATACGACCGGAGAGAGGTCGCTGAGTGTGAGAGGTATTGTTGTAGTGTCAAACCATCCGTGAACAATTGTATAAAGTGATCTCCACGAGTCCATAACCATGATAGTGCTTCCTTACATGCAAGTGCTTCAGCCATAAGAGGGGACTGACAATCTGGCAATCGTATAGTGAAAGCCGATATATATTCTCCTTCTCCAGTCATCAACACTGCCCCAGTAGTTGCCGCCCCCGTGTGTCGCGAGAAACTGGCATCGAAATAACATTTGAGCGGCACATGAGCCTCCGGTGATGGCAGTGTATCTTCGGCCATGCGCAACTGGCGCGGTAAAGCCGGCACGGTAGGCTGTTGCGACGGCATGGGAGTCCGGGCGGAATGTGCTTGCTGCCATGCACGTACTCCGGCAACGGCTGCGGCAATAACTTTTCGCGGGACTGCCCCAGTAGTTGCCGCCCCCGTGTGTCGCGAGAAACTGGCATCGAAATAAAATTTGAGCGGCACATGAGCCTCCGGTGATGGCAGTGCATCTTCGGCCATGCGCAACTGGCGCGGTAAAGCCGGCACGGTAGGCTGTTGCGACGGCATGGGAGTCTGGGCGGAATGTGCTTGCTGCCATGCACGTACTCCGGCAGCGGCTGCGGCAATAACTTTTCGCGGGCGTGGTAGGCATGCATCCCACACCGCTCCGTTTCTGGCTCTCCAAATGTAATATAGAATTGCAGCTGCGTGGATAATTTGGTTAGTGTCTAAAACATTCAATAGTTCACTAAACCAATCATAGAAAATATTTGTGATGTTGATGGGGATTGGAAGGTGAGATTGGCTCCAAATGGTCTTAGCATAGTCACACAATACTGGAGCATGTATTGTGTGTTCATTTGCCATTCCACACATAGCACATGTTGGTTGTATATCCACT